CACCCGGGCCGACAAGAGTGATTAATATAAGTTGAAATATCTTGCTTCATAATTGTTTAAATAAATATAAAGTTTAAATATATGAAATATGAAATACTTAACATCTTGAAATCAGTACGCTGTGTTCTGGATGTCTCTACCACGACGTTTATGATGCGGGTGATGTGTTTTATGGAGGGTTTATCAAATTATTAGAAACCCTAGTCCCGCCGATAGTCATATAACGCTTCATTATGAGAAATCGTGGAACAGTGTATAAAATATAAAGCTACATAATACCGTGGAGTCAAAAAATGTGCCTCAAATGTCGGCGTCCTTTATAACGTGTGTTGGACCTTGGTTACAGTTAAGGTACTGACGACGAGGTAGTGTCATAAAAAACACTGGAAAACAAGGATATGTACATGTATATATATATTCACTGTTTAATATAACTAATGTAAAACGCGAGAAAATTTGCATCTTAAATAATAGCATTTATGAGTTCAGGAAGTATAAATATGTGACGCTTACAGCTTACATATTTGGGATGTTCAATATGTTCCAAATGAAAAACAATTTGTGGAAATGTATACCCAACGTCTGCATGACGTATTTATTCAGGAATTACGTGGTGCGTTTGAAACATCTTCTAAATGTTATTTATATAGACATCTTGTCGATACTTTTAATATGCAATTCTATTTAGTAAAGCCTTTAACATTTAATACCAAAAAAATGTTGAGTCAATATCGCATGCAGGCGCATTCCCTTAATATCGAATCTGGACGTTATAATGGGGTTCCGAGAGGTCAAAGATTATGTTTTGCCTGTGACAAAAATGATTTAGAAGATGAGATACATTTTATTCTTATTTGTCCTGCTTACTCTGTATTGAGAAACACATACATTAAGCAATATTACTTCCGATGCCCCAGTGTGTATAAATTAATTGAATTATTGTCATGTAAAAGTATTAAAACATTACGTAGATTGGGTCTGTATTTAAAATATGCTACCGCCAAAAGAAAAACCCTCGTGTAGTAATATTGCTAAATTATGTATTCTTTTTATGTGATAATTGCTTATATGGAATTGTCCTCCGCCATCTTGAAAATTTGAAATATGTTTTGTATTCTATGTATCAATTAACCTATATGCTGATTTGCATTCGGAAATAAAAAAAACTAACTAACAGCAAGTACAGAAATTATTATGGGAAAATACCTAGTTTGCGGAACTATGAACACAATGGGAATAAATAGAAATCCATAAATTATTGGTTTTTTTTTTCTATTTGATTCAGTAATGATGTATAAGCCACAATTTAATTTAAGATGTGTGATGATACTTTATGCCATGCCTTATATCTGACTGCTGTGCATCAAGTTGTATGATGTGTTGTGATTTACGATGTACTTGTCTTCAGCATATTTTATTTGAGAGATAATATTGTAGCATGTACACAGCCCACGCAGTATCTCGTAAGCACCACATTGAGATCCACCCTGTATATTAAAAGCTGTGACCTCTTGTCACACACTACTAGCAGACATGTGTGTCAGTAGAACAAGAAATCGTTCGATCCTTCGAATTGGTACGTTGTACATAAGCTAACCAATCACACAATACTAATTTAGTTATCAAAAGGACGTGCACGTATTTACATGTCATTGATCCATTTATGTTCAGTATCTAATCTAAGGCAATACAATATATCATTATGTCAGATCAGACAGATGTAACTCGGACTGTTGGTCGTTACGCACATGCGTGTCTCGCTCGCTATAAGAGGCTTGATTCGTCTCTGTACTGTATGTCTTTAATAAAGACGTCTATTTCGGTAATTCTTATAGAGATTCCTAAAAGGTTTCTGGTTTTGTGAAAACAAAGAGATCTGTAAAAACGTGTGCGGTTAGATAGCGAAGACAGAAAAGTTGCTATTTTTCAACCAGGAAGTAGCTATAGTGACTAGGAAGTTATTGGTGCTATTTTTAGACGGTGAATAGAATGTCGTCTGCAGTTACACGCGTTAGAACTGGATGATACAGAACCTGACCTGAGAGGGGACGATTGGTAGCATGTACGCGGACTGGACAGTGGTCTTGGCCCTATCACTGACGGTCAACGGGTGTGTCTTACTACATTGTTTGTGTCTGAAGGGACGTTCGTACCTGGCCAGGAAATGTTGCTGTAACAAATACAATGCGCTGATTGTGGTTAGCCAGGTGTACGACGATAAGCCGGATCAGTTAGCCAGAAGGTAAATCGGTCAACGTTAAGCAGAATTAAATATGTCCGTTTTTGACAGGTATTCATATTATACAGGTTTACTTAATGTTAGATGTTAATTAAAGCACTATGCTGTACTACATGTGTCTACGAGTATCGGGGTTGTATGACACATCTATTTACATAAATATTAGTGTTCATATGTGACGTGTATACCAATTAATGTACATGTATGACGTAGATACATGTACATGTGTCCACGTATGACGCCTACAGGTTTGATGGCATACAAGTGTACGGATATGACGGGTGTACGACTGTACAGTTATGACGTGTATACAATGTACAGGTATGACGTTCATATATGTACAAGTGTGTACATATATGATTTGAAAACCTGTGTATATGTATGACGTGTATAACAATTTACTGGTTTGACATGCATACAATTGTACAGGTATGATATGTATGCAATTGTACATGTAGGACCTGTAAACCTACGTACAGGTATGACGTGTATATAGGTGTACCGGTATGACTTGTGTAAAGATACGGTGTGCATACCACGTTACGGGTTTGACATGACGTGTATACCTATGTACAGGTATGGCGTGTATCCGTGCGTACAGGTATGACATGGGCAGGTATTACTTGTACAGGGATAACGTGTATCCGTGTGTACAGCTATGCCATGGACAGGTATTACTTGTACAGGGATAACGTGTATCCGTGTGTACAGCTATGCCATGGACAGGTATTACTTGTACAGGGATAACGTGTATCCGTGTGTACAGCTATGCCATGGACAGGTATTACTTGTACAGGTCTGACGTGTATATAGGTGTACCGGTATGACTAGTGTACAGATACGGTGTGCATACCACGTTACGGGTTTGACATGACGTGTATTCCTATGTACAGGTATGGCGTGTATCTGTGTGAACAGGGATTACTTGTACAGGTATGAGGTGTATCTGTGTGTACAGGTATGACGTTTACCCGTATGTACAGGTACATGTATGATGTGTATCTGTATGTACAGGTATGACGTTTATCTGTGTGTACAGGTATGACGTGGATCTGTGTGTACAGGGATGACGTGTATCTGTGTGAAAAGGTATTACTTGTACAGGTATGAGGTGTATCCGTATGTACAGGTACATGAATGATGTGTATCCGTATGTACGGGTATGACGTGTATCTGTGTGAACAGGTATGACTTGTACAGGTATGACGTGGATCTGTGTGTACAGGGATGACGTGTATCTGTGTGAAAAGGTATTACTTGTACAGGTATAAGGTGTATCCGTGTGTACAGGTATGACGTGTATCTGTGTGTACAGGTATGACGTGTATCTGTGTGTACAGGTATGACGTGTATATGTGTGTACAGGTATGACGTGTATCTGTGTGAACAGGTATTACTTGTACAGGTATGACGTGTATCTGTGTGTACAGGTATGACGTGTATCCGTGTGTACAGGTATGACATCACATGTACAGGTATTGCGTGTATCCGTATGTACAGGTATTGCGTGTATCCGTATGTACAAGTATGACATGTACAGGTATGGCGCGTATCCGTGTGTACAGGTATGACATCACATGTACATGTATGACATGTACATGAGCGATACCAGTATATACTCTCTACACAGTGTAATGGACCAGCTGTATGCTATATAATACTCGTGTCGCCATCTGTTCACACACATGGTCGTGTTTTATCGGTCACCCCATCGCTTACAGCTGTCCCTTCACTGACTGTAATCTTGTACCGAACCTTGAATACTTGGACCGACTATTGATTTCTTACTGAACTTGATCTTCATTTTCATTGTAATATATCATACTTATATATATGAAAAATATACTGTCTCTTCATTTCGTATTGACGAAGGCTCTCGACCAGTCACGTGAACACGTTTCATTGCCTGATCCATTGTTTTGCGTTTACCATACTTGAGCGACATTCCGGTGAAATAGCCGCTTATGTTCCTCTATGGGTACAACACGGTGCATGACTTTTTGTGACCTTGACCTATTACCATGGCATTGGCCTTGTTTTAGTTCTTAAGTGTGGAAGCGACCGTCCGTGACTTAAAGAATTAAGTAACTGTGACAGTTATAACACTATAAATTAGTGTATATATACTATAGTGTAAGGGTCAAAGAAGTAATATAGACGGTAAAATCCCATATAACACTGGATCCTAATGGTATATATTCTTGTAATATGATGTATATGTACATGTAACTGTTCTGTTTCACTATGTTTTGAAAAAGGAGCGGATCGCTCCGAAACATTGACAACCTAAACTTGTCCACACTGTTGGAATTACTTCTTTGCCCCATATACTACAGTGTAATATATATATGCCTACTAACACTTTACTAATACTGTACTTAATAAATAATGAACTAACTAGTATCTTGTCTATAGAGGCTAGCGTTATACTATGCCCGTACTTCTGTTGAAGTGTCAAGTCAAAGATAACATGTATGTACATAACAAATTAAAAACACTAGGAATAAATGATAAATATGTTGGAGTTGCCACGTCGCAGCTTTCGTAAACAATTATGGATAAAAAGTGTGATGACTTGTTAGAATTGCTTCAGTAGGCTGATAGGTTCTAAATTATGCACTACCTGGTTTCGTTAGGGGATTTCCCGTCGATTTTCCGCGCACGTCTTTTTTTAGTAATCGATTGATTCCGGCATTGTACTGACCCGTTTTCATTATTACAGTGTAAATGTCGTATGATTGGTTGATTACTGCTCATGATTTGATTGGTTTTGGCATTGTCGGAAGATATTTGTTGATTTAATTATATTGCTGACAACATTGAGGAAGAAATAAACACAACCATCACGTGGAAAACATATAAATAGATACACCCATTTTATGTTCATTACTGTCAGCAGTAACCTGTAGTCTACCATCTTTTTATCACACTAATTCACCGATAGGATATATATATATAACCAATGCATTTATCATACCGGGATATTTATTTATCAGGTGATATTTTCTGTCCATCCACCATTTTTTCATATACAGAATAAGACAGTCTCCATTCAATAATCGTTGAATACCCCTCAACACAATTATGCGGTAATGAAATGCGTATGTTTAACAAAGCTTAAAACTAATACGCAGCACAATATCTAAGCTTCACCTGTGATGTTAGTTTCATATTAGCTTCACCTGTGATATTAGTGCCACCAGTGATGTTAGCTTCATTTTAGCTTCACCTGTGATGTAAGCTTCATATTAGCTTCACTTGTGATGTTAGCTTCATACTAGCTTCACCTGTGATGTTAGCTTCATATTAGCTTCACCTGTGATGTTAGCTTCATATTAGCTTTACCTGTGATGTTAGCTTCATTTTAGCTTCACATGTGATGTTAGCTTCATTTTAGCTTCACCTGTGATGTTAGCTTCATTTTAGCTTCACATTTGATGTTAGCTTCATTTAAGCTTCACCTGTGATGTTAACTTCATATTAGCTTCACCTGTGATGTAAGCTTCATATTAGCTTCACCTGTGATGTTAGCTTCATTTTAGCTTCACCTGTGATGTTAGCTTCACGTTAGCTTCACCTGTGATGTTAGCTTCATTTTAGCTTCACCTGTGATGTTAGCTTTATATTAGCTTCACCTGTGATGTTAGCTTCATATTAGCTTCACCTGTGAGGTTAGCTTCATATTAACTTCACCAGTGACGTAAGCTTCATATTACCTTCACCAGTGAGGTTAGCTTTATATTAGCTTCACTTGTGATGTTAGTGTCACCTGTGATGTAAGCTTCATATGAGCTTTACCTGTGATGTAACATTGTAGCTTCACATGTGATGTTAGCTTCACGTTAGCTTCACCTGTGATTTTAGCTTCATTTTAGCTTTACCTGTGATGTTAGTGCCACCTTGTAGCTTCACATGTGGTGTTAGCTTCATATTAGCTTCACCTATGATGTTAGCTTCATTTTAGCTTCACATGTGATGTTAGCTTCACGTTAGCTTCACCTGTGATGTTAGCTTAATATTAGCTTCACATGTGATGTTAACTTCATATTAGCTTCACCTTTGATGTTAGCTTCATTTTAGCTTCACATGTGATGTTAGCTTCATTTTAGCTTCATCTGTGATGTTAGCTTCATATTAGCTTCAACTGTGATGTAAGTGCCACCTGTGATGCTAGCTTCATATTAGCTTCACCTGTGTCGTTAGTGCCTCCAGCGACGTTAGCTTCATATTAGCTTCACCTGTGACTTTAGCTTCATTTTAGCTTCACCTGTGATTTTAGCTTCATTTTAGCTTTCCCTGTGATGTTAGTACCTGTGATGTTAGCTTCATTTTAGCTTCACCTGTGATTTTAGCTTCATATTAGCTTCACCTGTGATTTTAGCTTCATTTTAGCTTCAACTGTGATGTTCGCTTCATATTAGCTTCACCTGTGATGCTAGCTTCATATTAGCTTCACCTGTGGTGTTAGCTTCATATTAGCTTTACCTGTGATGTAAGCTTCATATTAGCTTCTCCTGTGATGCTAGCTTCATTGTAGCTTCAGTGATATTAGTGCCACCAGTGATGTTAGCTTCACATTAGCTTCAACTGTGATGTAAGTGCCACCTGTGATGCTAGCTTCATATTAGCTTCACCTGTGTCGTTAGTGCCTCCAGCGACGTTAGCTTCATATTAGCTTCACCTGTGTCGTTAGTGCCACCAGCGACGTTAGCTTCATATTAGCTTCACCTGTGGCGTTAGCTTCATATTAGCTTCACCTGTCTTCACCAGTGAGGTTAGCTTTATATTAGCTTCACTTGTGATGTTAGATTCATATTAGCTTCACCTGTGATGTCAGCTTCATATTAGGTTCACCTGTGATGTTAGCTTCATATCAGCTTCACCTGTGATGTTAGCTTCACGTTAGCTTCACCTGTGATGTTAGCTTAATATTAGCTTCACATGTGATGTTAACTTCATATTAGCTTCACCTTTGATGTTAGCTTCATATTAGCTTCAACTGT